CTCAGGCAATCCACTCACCTCAGCCTCTCAAAGGCACGGGATTACAGGCTGAGCCACCAAGCCCGGCTATGAGCTCATCTTTAATCAAACCTTCTATTTCAAGATTTCAACAATGGAATTGAGTAGCTGTACATGTGTGTCTGTTGGCTGCAGGAACTGGATTGACAGGCTTGAGGTCATCCATCTGGAAAGTTTCCTTCATGTTTTTTCACATTTCCCCATCTTTTGTTCTACAGTTGTTGGTTGTGTGACTAGGGATTTCACTTACCAGAAGTGTCTTTCCAGGCTGCCCTGATGATCTCGCTCATTTGGAAGTATTATTCTGTTCCTGTGGCCGTTGTGCCGACTAAATGGATAACCCCACTTGACCGCCTGGTGGCCTTTCCGACTCGAGTAGCAGGTAAGAATTTCTGGAAAACCTAGTGGAAGAGTGTGGATGGGCTTATGTAGAGTTGTGTGGTAGAGGATTGCATTAGCCTGACATTCCTTACCAGCGATTCAGTGAGCAGGACTTTGTGTGTCAGCTTCAGATGAGGCTTGCAGTAAGGAAACTGAGGTCTAGAGATGTCACTTAACTTGTCCAGATTCACCAAAACGTTAAGCGGCAGAGATCAAATTCAGTCTCAAGTCTATATCCGGAATCCATGCCCATACATAGGGTCTGACACTCCATTCAGACACTACCTGTAGTTCCTAATCTTTAGTCCTTATTGTGGCCTCTCTGATACTTGCCGCTGTGGGCCATTAAAAAAATTTCTGTGATGTAACCTTTTTTGGATGTTGAAAATAGTACAAGTCATTGTAGAATGACTAGAAATATAGGAACAATTGAAAACATTTCCATTTGCTTTAGGTAACTCCACTTAACACTGGGGTATTTTTTTTCTATTTATTTTGACATAGTTAAGGTCATCTGGCGTGTATCATTTTATACCTCCTTTTTGCTTTACACTGTAAGCCTGTTCCCATGTCTTAGTCTGTTTGGGCTGCCATGCCAAAATATTATAACCTGGGTAGCTTATAAACAACAGAAATGTGTTTCTCACAGTTCTGAAGTCTGAGAAGTCCAAGATCAAGGCACTGGCAGATTTGGTGTCTGATGAGGGCCCATTTTCTGGTTCACAAATGGTCCCTTCTCACTGTGTCCTCACATGGTAGAAGGAAGGCAAGAAAGTTCCTGTGGATCTCTTTTAATAAATGCGTTCCCATTCATGAGTGCTCTGCCTTCATGGCATAATCACCTCCCAAAAGGCCCTCACCTCCTAAGATTGTGAGGGGTTAGGGTTTCAACATATGAATTTGGGGGTATACAAACATCAGACCATAGCACCATATCAGTAAACTTCTTTATTAAGGGATTTTCATTAGCTGTTTTTTATTTGAATGTATCATAATTTGCTAATTTTCCTGATGGATGATTTTTCTTTAGGTTCTTATTTTTTGCTATTAAAGGTAAAGCTGCAGCAGTCTGTTTGGGCTGCTGTGCCAAAATACTATAAACTGGGTAGCTTATAAACAACAGAAATTTATTTCTCACAGTTCTGGAGGCTTTTGGAGCTCCCTGTCAGTCAGTCTTTGGTTGTGATTTGTGATTATGTTGGAGGTGAAATACTGCATCAGAAGGAATGACTATTTCAGAGATGTCTAGTTTACCCATGAACCCTGAACCCTACCCTCCACCTTCCCTTGACACAGCTGGGCCCAGAGGTGCAACGGATCACCCTTCCCAGCATCCAGCAAGGCTGTCAGCCACCATCACAGCCTGTCTTCCTGACTGGCAGATGCACATGTCTCTCCATTATCAGTGGGAAAGAGAGGCATGGGTAAATGATGCTTTGTTTGTAATGCTTTTCTGAGAAAGGAATAATACAAAGTCTTATGGGTGATCTTGTAATCTATTAACGTCATGGATAGTAACACACATCTCTCTGGCAGGAAAGGGAAATTCAAACCAGTGTCTGTTGTTCAGGGCGATTCCTGCTTAGTAAAGAACACAGCCCTGTGCATCTGTGGAATGTCTCATGTATTTGAACCCACAAAACACAGACTCAGTCTTTCTTAACTGATGAGCACTGCTCAAAAGGAGTTGAAATACTCTCACTGCCGATGAGTTAACAGCAGCAGAGGCAGGACATGTGGGCGGCACTGCTGGCAAGCTCTCTCATGTTAAATGTCTCTGTTTTCAGGTGGTGTTGGAATTACCTGTTGGATTTTGGTCTGTAACAAAGTTGTAGCTATTGTGCTTCATCCTTTCAGCTGAAAAGGAAGATAAATACAGCTGTGAGACTTTAAAAAATGGAGTTTCTCTTATTATGTTACAAATATTATTTATACTGTTTTGTTTTTTAAGAAACATAAGTGCACAGGTTTGACTTTTTTGTTGGCTATATTTGTTCTTGGACTTTATGTGAGATTCTTATAAGAATCACTATTTTCTACATTTGTCATTGGGCCAGAAAGGCCAGTTTATGACACATGTGTACAACCAACATCATCCCAGATCCACAGAAAATGGAGATGTCAGTGGCATCCGTGCTTTTTTTTTTTTGAGTTGGAGTCTCACTCTGTCGCCCAGACTGGAGTGCAGTGGCCGCTCCCGGCCACCGCAGCCTCCACCTCATGGGCTCCGGCGATCCTTCTGCCTCAGCCTTCCGAGTAGCCGGAATTACAGGCGCGCGCTACCATGCCCGGCTAATTTTTTTGATTTATTGTAGAGATGATATCTTGCCTGCCCAGGCGGGTCTCGAACCCATGGGCTCAGGCAATCCACTCACCTCAGCCTCCCAAAGGCGCGGGATTACAGGCTGAGCCACCGAGCCCGGCTGCACCTGTGCTTTCATCCTTGATTTGTGCTCTTGCATATTTTGGTCATATTGCCAGCTGGAAAGTCAAAATTTTCTAACAACTGAAGTACTTTAAAGACTTAGTGCTCTTTTTGATGCAGTTTAGAAAGTAATTTAATTTTAATATCACTACTAGAATTTGAAAGTTTATTTTTTAATCTCATGCAGTACAACTGAAATAACACTAATTGACATAGCTCATGCTTTTTCTCCCTCTGTTTAAAATATCCTTTGTTGGGCAAGGATTTGTATAGTATTATCTACTTATTTGAAACTGTTAAGCTTTCATTGCAGTGTTTTGTAATTGTATTCATGAGACCATATGCATTGTTTGTGCTTGAATTTTTTTGTACATAAAGCATTTCCAATGAAGTGTATTTTATAAGCATTTAATATTTGCGCTCTGTAGAATGGAACACATTTAAAAAAACAAACTAGGAAGCCCGATTAAATTAATCTGTAAATTAAATTATGTGGTTTGGCCTATAAAGTATAATTCTTCTAAATCTGTTTTTAAAACAATTTTTTCTAATTAAAATATTTGCAAGTGCTTGTGTGACTTCCTTCCTTACAGCCACTTGGTTGCTGTGTCTAATCTGCAGCTGACAAGGGGCTGTTAACTGAGTAGAGTTAAGTGGTTCACTGTATCACAATAAAGCTAAATCTGACACTAGTTTTTAAAAGATCATGTTTGTCTTCTTGTGTTTCCCAGTGATCTAATAAGTAGCTTATTCATATTTCAGCTAATTGTGCTGTGAAAAGACAAAGTGCTGTGGTCACACTGAAGACCACCAGAGGGTTTTCAGGTTCCCTGTGTTCAGAGTCACAGCCACTGCAGGCTTGCCCAGCACCACATTCAATCAACTTTAAGTGATGACCTAGAATGTGGGATGCAGCCGCAGTGTCGTGCA